CACGCATACGAGACAATAAGACGCAAAGGATGGGAGGTGGTGTCGGAGACAGCGGTGCTGCTGTCGCTGTCGGCGGAGGTCGTTGTTCCTTTTTCATTGCTGGTGAATGATGTTGTCGTTAATTCTTCCGGTTGTTTGACCAGGAGTGATGTTAAAAGACAACTGGTGTCCTGACACTTCGTCAATGCCTTCCCTGTCCCGTCGATTTCTGTGCTCGCCGCTGGAGTCGGCGGGATGCTGACAGGGCTGCCAGCACCATCCGATTGAACTTGTTCTGCTGTGTTCTCGTCCCCAGTCCCACTGCACCAGCTGCTGGGGCGGTGCGGCAGTCATGCCAGAAGCACCAGCAATGGGCTGGGTGTCGGCCGCATCAATCAATGAGTGTGTCCGCAATCGATAGGAACGTGCATCGACGAGGGAGTCTGCACCGACGCTCGGGATGGGGAAACAAAGACGACAAACAGAACAGTGCATGCCACCCCGGAAAATCCGCAAGGAGTGTAGTCTCATGAGGCTGTGTTGCTGCCGTGGCGACGGAAATGAATGGCGGTGCGAGTGGCGTCCTCGTCGTGCGTCCCCTCCTGCCAATCCTCGCGGTAAGCCCATTGCCCAAGTACATTGATTCCGCCTGAGAGACCAATTAAAATGTTCTTCTGTCTAAATGTATTGTACTCGTAACTGGCCACAGTCGCCCACAATGCCTCCAGCGAATACACCTGCGATGCACGGTCAACACAATCCACATCCACTCGTCGTGCGCCATCCAACACCATCTTTTCCTTGGAGCTATGAACAACACCGGGCACACACTCTTTTTCGGCCGTCCATGGCATGCGCCTGCGGTGAAAATCCGGAGAAAGTCCCATTCCTTTTGTGCACAAAGTCATGGAGCTGCCGCCGTTAAGCGCGTCCCGGCGAGGGCAACAACAGCCCGCCGCAGCATTCACGAATGACCACCTGTTGTCTCCTGTGTAAAAAAAAAATAAACATTGGAGGGAAAAGCGTGCACAAATGCCCTGGCAAAAAAAGTCGGCACCAGTGGATGAACACTGAAGCCGTGGGTGCATGCTCCACAAATGTCTTCCCTTTTTTAACCGCCTTCATCGTAGCAAAGAAATGGCCCGCAACCGCACACGCAAAAGAAAAAAAGCAAAAGGTGAGCAGCGCGGCCGTTTAAACACACACACGCGCATCGTATGGAACACTTCTTGGAGAAGAACTGAATGCAGGAAGAAGCGCACACAATCCCAATGGACACCCTCAGTCGTGTGTGTTTGTATACTTCCCACTCTTTGGCTCTCGATGCATTCCTGTGCGTGTCTCGCCCGTGAGTCACAGTGCCGTAGGGTGCCAAGTCCCTGCACAAACACACCTCAGGACGCGGCAGCGAGGCTCCCCAATGACCACCTCACGGCCATACCTTTTGGATATCTCATGGACCGAGCGCCTCTCGCTGCAGGCTACACCACCCAAAACAAGCAGCACAATGCGCTGCGGAGTTGTGAGGGCAATCGTCCCACCACCGCCACCCAGATCAGGATGATTCCCCCATTTGCCACCACACCCTTGAAATGGCCCGGCGTTTTTTCCTGCTGGTCCACTGTTATGGCCACCACTCGCGCCATTTGGCCTCATCGCATGATCGCGCTGCATCGATGTCAACGACAGCCCAACCCGCAGCGTCCTCTTCTTGCCCGCCGTCTCCATCATCATACAGGCCTGTTTCAGAAGCGGATCCCCGTCCGTCGCGGCGTTGCTCGCAGAGGCACTCGTGCTCCGTCCGCCCTGCGCCGACGCCGTGCTCTCTGGTTGCACGCTCCCGGCCCTCCTCGTCACATGCTCAAGGTTCGCAGACAAATGGGCGTCCGGTGTCAGTCTACCGTCTCGGATCAGCTGCTGCTTCTTGGCCTCCGTCAACTCGTCGGTGCTGCTCGCAGTCACAAGCAACAGGAGAAAACGCAGACGCACTGGCCGGGGCATCGCCGCATCCCTCGCCAGTCGCCGCACGCCATCCAGGTTTTTCCTGAAGGGTTTGCGCCCAACGGGGATGTTTTGTTCCACCTCGCACACCTCCGCCAGTCGCTTCTCCCGGTACTATGCCACAAGCCTCGCGCAAATATCGATGTGCAGCGACAGTCTGGTTTGCCTCTCTCGAAACTCCGGCGGAGACCGCACCGAACTCCCCAACTCCGCAAGCTTGGCCTTCGGCTCAACGCCATGCGCCAATCCCGGGTGATACGCGTGGAGTTTTTTCAGCGCCACCGAAAGCTCCTCCACGCAATGCGCGAGAAAACAATGACGGTAGGAGCACCGGTACACATCTTCCCCATCAATTACTGCCGATTCGAGTCCTCAGCCAGACAATTCCTGCAGGTCTGCTAATACAATTTCTTCCCCAGCGGCATCAGGTCATCAAGCACAAACTGACATGTGCGTTGGTGCATCAGCGGCGTCACCATGGCACAGCTTCAATCAACGATGATCCGCACTGGGTTGCCGCGGCTGTCGGCGCCCCTAAGTGAAATCCGGCTCGTCGTGGCAGAGCTTGGCAAGCCCCTCAAAAAAGGTTCTGACAAGCCCATTGCAGATGCTGCCACTGTTTTGGTGGCGAATGACGGGCACACCGTTGTTCATGGCGTGAAAAGCCGCCACAGGACGTGGCGCCGTAACGTCCAAAACGGACCATCAATTCGGAGGCGACAGTAGCGACAGCAGCTGAGAAACCCATTCTGCATGCTGAGGTGGAAAACCAGCACCTCACGGGCGGCGAAGTCTAACATAATGTCCTTGAAGCGCATGGCCCTCGGCGCTATCCGAGCACGCGAGTTGCTGAGGGTGGCGATGCGGGGTGCACCCCAGCGCAAAGATGTGTGCATCCCTGTACGGGACCTTTGCAATCCAATCCTCAGCCACGCGGCTCACAGACGCATCCTCCACGGCAAAAAAGTAGGGCGCAGGGCTACTGATAATCGGCTGCCGCGGCGTCATGAGGTCCTCGAGCAGCGTCACGCCGTGCTCCATGAGGTCATGGAGACGCAGTGAGCAGCTCAGCACAGACGTAGCATGGGCATCGCAGAAAAAACTTTAAACGATCCATAAACGGCGTCAAGCATCTGATGGAACATATGATCCCGCACACAACCACGAACACCATTGCTGGACTCACGCGGCTTCCCTTCTTCCGTCGGCCTTTACCGCACCAACCCGCCTCGCATAATATGTCAAGCACAAGTCACACAGACAATGTGCTTCGATATGCGTGTGTGTCTTGTGTGTGCACATTTCACTCGCACCGCTTTTTGTGTATGTATGTGCGTCTCAGAAAATCTAACAAACACACAAGCAAAGCCATAATACCATCCGGTGGCCCAACATCGGCGACCAACACGAAAGGAGCAGTGTGCATAGGAAGTACCACCAATTACAAACACAAAGTCAAACGGAGTGGGCACAGCACATGCATATGGAGAACGACATCCATTGAAATGGATGTTTTTCTATTGGGCTTCCAGTGCTGGGTGCAGGCCACGCAGGAGGAAGCACAGTCGCCTCGCAGCGCAAAGTCCTCCACGCCGCTACTCGATTGAGCACTGTCACGGCGGCGGCAGAGGCAAGCAGAAGAAGCAGCGGACAGGGAAAAGCAACAGCAACAGTGTCATCACCGGGAGTCCGACGCGTGTCCTACTTGCCGTCCTTCTCGCTGCTTCGGTCCCTGCCGCCGAGAGAAGATTCTCGCGGTCTGTCGGAGCATCCTGGCCGGATCCACTTCTCCTCTGGCGACGGATTCTTCTGGGGGACAGCCGTGTCCACATCCTTCGATGGTGTGCCACGGCCAGTCTCAATGCTCCCCGCAACGGGGACGGATGCCCCCTGGAAAGTCCTGTTCAGTAGCTGCCAGTGAAACCGTCCTGCTCCACACCCTCTCCTCGCCGTCCCACGGAACCACTGGAAGGAGCCTGTCGCTGGTGACGGATATCGTGCACACCTGCGCGTGGTCACGGAAAATAGCTTTTCCCTCGTCGTAGGGCGGAGCAACTCACGTAATCGTCGCCTCGGCCGTGCATGG